GACAAAGCTCTATGCGATTTAGGAGCCAGTATCAGTATTATGCCCTTAACGATTTGCAAAAGGCTAGACATGGGAGACCTAAGACAAACTAAAATGTCTGTTCAACTAGCCGATCGCTCTGTTAAATATCCTGTAGGCATACTAGAAAACGTCCCAGTACGTATAGGACAATTTTACATCCCTACTAATTTTATAATCATGGACATCTCTGAAGACTCCACTACATATATCATACTAGGAAGACCATTCTTAGCTACCGCCGGAGCTATAATAGACGTAAAAAGAGGAAAGCTAACCTTTGAAGTAGGTGAAGAGAAAGTTGAATTTATTTTAACACAATTCTTACAATCACCAGCTATAGAGGTTACATGCTATCTATTGGACGTAATTGACGAATGTGTAAGAGAAATGGAACTGAAAGAGACCACTTATTCTGAAATAATGAAAATTCAAATCCCTCCGATTTTCGGAGATGATAATTGGCGAAAACCGTATCAGGATGATAGTCTAAGCGAAAGTTTAGCACTTACACCGGATCCCATGCCAAGTAAAGATAAACCTACATTAGGATTAAAAACTTTACCTCATAACCTAAGGTACGAATTCTTAGACGTTGAATGTAAAAGACCAGTTATAGTAAATTCCAGTTTAGGAACTATAGAAACAAAGAAACTTTTAGATGTCTACTTATGCGTCTAGCGGTATCTTACTGCAAGTGCACAGCCTATCGAAGTAATATTTAAGATTATCGATCCACAGGGATTTTATGGTTACTTAGTGCTAGATGAACTTCTAGTTTAGCTAAGGCGAATGGTTGTCACGATTTTTTGTTGATTTTTAAGACTATTAAAGGCGAAATTAAATTTAAGTTTTAATAAAGTAATACTAAGGCGGTCGGTATGTAATTATACTAACTTAGGTGGGTCAATCTAACCTAGGCTTATAAAGGTGTTCACTTAATCTATTCGGTAGAGATTACCAGTTTAAATACCCTCAACTCACACTCTCGTGGTCTTATATCAGATCTTATCCCTAAAGCCCTATGCCTGCTCTCGCTAGCCCATAAGTGTTTAGAGGTAATTTTTGGAAACTAAGTAATTCTAATTTATCTTAAAGCGCTCTCGCTGTGTTTAATTTAAATGCCTAACTTTAGCTATCTGGTTAAAATCTCACACTCTCGTGGTCTTGACCTAACCTAATACTCTTTTCTTACTCTCGTAACGAAAAGGTCTATTTCAATTAAAAAGTATCAGCCAGAATGTTAAGTGATTAATTATTTTTAACCTATGGTTATATTTTACCGGTTAAGTTTGTTATAACTACATACCGCCCTAAGGTGTTTAGCTACTCATCGATGTTGAACCAGACAGAGATAGAAAATTTAATAATAACGTACTCATGGCAGAAAAATAAATAAACATTATAATTAAATTAAATTGCAATATAATGAAAAACCTGGTTAACAAATATTCGAGCAGACTCCTTCCACGGACCGGAAAGCTTGGAGTTAGCGGAAATTGAAAATAAACGAATGCTGAAGGTTTAGAAACAAAAAAATGTATAACAATTTCCTGATGTTGGAAATTGTTATATGGCGGGTTTGGATACAATAAAAAACGAAACAGAAAACTAAAAATAATGCAGGAATAGAAAGGCTGGTTCGTAATACAGTTCGGCAGAGCTTCCGCAGAAATTTGAATAAAAAAATGCTCTCCTCTTTGTTCATAGAACTTGTACTATTTATAGAATCCTTAATGGGCTGGATTTTTGGACCTTTGTTGCATGGGTCTTGCTGAATTTGTGGAAGGAAGGCAGGAACGTGGCAACAGGAGAAATGGTCTTCACGTAATGCCTTGACGTAGTCTGAGTCAAAAACCTAATTTTACCCTTGTCACGGTCGTGACAAGGTCTTCACGTTCGTAACTTGTGGTTTTTAAGTGTCACGGTCGTGACCACTCTCTTACGGTCGTGATGGCTCAAATTGGGGTGTCACGGTCGTGACACCCTTGTGACGGCCGTGACTGCAACAAATTATGCAGTCTTTTGCAGGCTTCTTCATTTCTTCATCTCTTTATGGTTTCTTTTGTTCCTTTTGCTCTTAATTCATGATTTAGCTCCATATAATGATGTACCTACAAAATGGTAAGAAAAACTCGAGAAATCGAGTGTTAAAACGGTGAATATGCGATAAAACGTTAATGAAACCTAGCAATATAATCGATGCGTTTTCTCGTTATCACCAGGTCGTGAAGAAAATGTAGGGACGGTTTATGGAGACTTGGAGACTAAGCATGGTCTGTTCCCAACCGTTTGAGATTTTTCAAGGGTGGCGACCGCCACAGCTTCATGGCGACCGCCATGCTCACAAAGTGGGCATGATTTGGTCATCCCACTAGTTTGTACGTGGACCACCCATGGCACCCCTAGAATGAACGCCATGGTGGTCGCCATAGATGCAAGTCTGCCCCAATTCTTCGCTTTTCGTCCATTTCGCTCCGTTTCTTCGCCCACAGCTCCTGATTAATAAATTCTCTGAAACAAAGGAAAAACACTAGCATAATAGTGGAAATGAAATTAAAACAATAAGAAAATATGCATAAGTCAAGTCAAATAAACGATAGTTTGAGGTGTCATCACCCACAAACACACAAACCCACCATTCTAACATGCCAAACACCCAACCACAATACCAAGAGCGTCTCCCATACCATCTCCAACAAAATGACTATTATCAAGACACCCAAAATGCCTATGTCCCCAACACAGGAGCGGAACTACATGGAGACTAGGGGTGGCCATGACCACCTCAAACATTTCAAAATCTTTTACTTTTTACTAGGTAGGTTAAATATTAATATAAAAAGTTGATTATATAATGCTTTAGTTTGAACAGATTGTATATTATTCAGAATAGCACAGTGACAACGATGTTTAATTTTATGCAATGGTTGTTTTCATATTTTTTCATAAAATGATTGTTTTACTCATAAAGAAATACCTGTGCGACTTGAACGCGTAACCTTAAGCCTTAACTTTAAAATTTAGTTTTTAATATACCACTAGGCTATGAATGCAATATAAAATATAGGTGAATCATATCATTATTATATCAATACATAAGTTACGGCCCCTCCAAGTAAAGTCTTTTAGTTCCGCCACTGCCCCAACACAACATCAAGATATAGCCAAAACGCTCAAACATCATACCATAGCCATAACGTCCAAACATCTTTCCATAGGCAAAACGCTCAAACATCACATCATAGCCTACACACACAAACATCACACCATAGCCTACACACACAAACATCACAACAACCTTATGGCTTTCAAACACCAATACCATTTCAACCTTTCACCAATGAAGCCTTCAAACCAATGTCCCCTTTCAATCGTCCAAACCACACACGAATGACTCCTTCATCACATCCGAACTACTTTGGCATGGGTCGCGAGCTCAGTTTCAACACAAAAGACTTTTTGAAAATGCAAGAAATTTTTAGGGCTTCAGCTGAGAATGTTCCTGAGACCTCAACTCCTCAAACATCTGGAATAAATCAACGAGGGCAACGAGTGAGGGTGTTTAGGAGATGTGGAACCGGTGGCTGGTATGACTAATCCGGTCTCTAACATTAATATATGTAATATTATTTTTAATTAAATCTTAATGTTAGTTATTTATGTTAAAAAAATTTGACTTTCAACTCTGTTTCCAATTGAATTGTCGACACCTTTTGACAATTTATACTATGTCGCCAATTGAATTGGCAACACCATGTGGTGTTTTCAATCAAATTGGCGACAACACTTGTTCCTTGTGAAGAGTCGCCAATTAGTATGGGGCCTACACTCTATTAGTACCTTAAAGTGAAGTACTTTAGGAAATAATTTGAAAAATGAATTATTTTGGGATTTTTATTTTTTTGAAAATTTAGGGTATTTGAATAAAAAATTATCTTTTTACATTATTTTACAACATGGGGTTGCTCACAAAATAGTGCAAATTAAATAATTTATAGGATTCGTATTATATTAATTTATTAATAACAATAACAATTGAACCATAAAACGAGCTTTTCAAAAAAGAATCAAAATTTCAACTAATCCAATAGTTGAAAATGAGAACCCTAGGGATGAAGACAATAGACATGGTCTCTTTGGAGCCCTTAAATATTATTTCAAAGAATCTTCTAAAAATTGTTGAAAGAAATACATGACCATAATAGGACTTAGATTGGGAAAAGTTGGGAAAATAAATTTGAAATGAAAACCTTCATTTATTTAGATTAACAATTGTCAATGGCATGAAATGACTACGATTAGGAGAGGTTTCATGGATCCAAACTCAAAGCTTTCATAGGCCGATGGAATTAGGAAAGGTGTTAGAGTAGTAGGAACTAGTCGTGGAGGGAAATTGGTCAATTGGTGGTAGTTAATCACATGAAAGGAAAAGGTATATGATACGAGGGCATGTTTGGTTTCAAAAAACATTATCTACTTTCATTATTATTAGTTATAAATTAATTATTTAAATGCTATATTGCTTTCACTTTGTTTTTGGTTTTTAAAGTTGTGTACAGAAAGAAAGCAGTGAAAACAACAAAATATTGTTTTCACTTTTTCTATACAAATTCTAAAATAAGAAACAAAAATATAAAACATTTTCTAACGCCCAACAAACCAAATCTTTTGGAATAAGGGTGCAGTGGGGCTAGTTTACGTTTGGTGTCATCTTTTCTGTCGTGGCTTGTGCCTTGGGTAAAAGTTTCCTCTCTCTGTAATCACACTTCAGTTTATAGAAGAAATCAATCTCCATCTCCCAGACAGGAATCACTCATGTAAAATGTGGAAGGATTTGTTCTTCCCAAATTAAGAATTATTCATTTGCTTTGATAAATTAATATAGCAGTCTTTTTCTTCTTTAATTGAAGTTTCCCTTTTCTGCAAATACTTATCATGTCTCTATGTAAACATTTCATGTCTTGTGGTTTTTGGCTCAGTTGCGTTAACATTGATCGGAGGTGTGCAACACGTCGATGCTTCTGGAACAAGGGTAAGGGGGGAGTCCCACTTACTCTTGGTCGGTGATCCTGGTATGCAATCAATTGCTATTACTGTTTCTACTATCACCGCCATTAATACTACAATTATTACTTTAAATTCTTAACCTGTATTATCATTTAATGCTTGATGAATGCTACAATACACCCTGACACCCCTGAAAGTGACATAAAATAGACTAAAAAAGAGGGGACTTTTACCACTCTAGTGCTGCCGGGATGTTAAAAGTGTACATTTCACTCACTTATTGACTATTTCAATTTTGTTTTAGGCACTGGAAAATCACAGTTTCTGAAATTTGCTGCAAAACTGAGCAACCGATCTGTTATTACAACTGGGTTGGGAAGCACTAGTGCAGGATTGACTGTTACTGCTGTGAAAGATGGGGGTAATTTTGCTACAGCCATATTTTACACCTTAACAGTTTCTTTTTCCATCACATAAAGAGGCAACCTAGTAGTACCACAAAGCTCCTGGCTCCTGCAATGGTGGGATCTAGGGAGGAGTTGGACTTGTATTGGATCTCTTATAGGAAGTCCTACCTTTGCATGAGGTTTTGAATTTGTGACATAGCTCCCTTTTCTTACAAGTTACCATAAATTGTTGATTATAAATTTCAATATGCATGAATCTGCACCTTGTAGTTGGTTATACTGAGTGCTACACCAATTTATGGAATCTTTAGGTGAGTGGATGTTGGAAGCCGGGGCCCTTGTCTTGGCAGATGGAGGATTGTGTTGCATAGATGAATTTGATAGGTAAGCTCTCGGGAGCTTTAGTCTTTGACCAAAATGTAATATGTTGCCAAGTAATACACAATTTTGAAGCTGGAAAACAAAATAAAATTAAAAGTATATTTATGGTTGGAGCTTGGAGGTTTAGATTGAATATTACACACATGACATATTGTGTAGGTAAGAATTACAAAACTTATTTTGTTTTCGTTTTTGTTCATTGTAATTAAAGATTGGATGATTATCTTTGCAAAGAGATGATATCATTTACGCAGTGCCTTAACTAATCATTATTTTCATCTTTATTGCTTATGAGTGACACAACAAAGCTCAGTGTCTGTCATACGAAAGCATTCTCCGTTTTAAGAGCAGCTAAAGTTTAAATACTAACTAAGAGCAGCTAAAGTTTAAATATTAACTAAGATATACACTTAATTAGCTCTATTGAATTTGTATTTGTATTGTTGGTGTTTGTTTGAAGTCCTACACTGCTTAGGTTCCTAAGCTGTTGAGTGTATAAATATGTGAGGGCGACCTCATCCTTTGAGTTAGCTTTTGGGGTTAAGATCCAAGCATTTTTAACATAGTATCAGAGCCGGGTTGGACTAGAATGTGGGCATTTGACTCAGGCCCACGATAGGCGTAAGGATGGGTGTTGAATATGTATTTGTGCTGTTGGCGTTTGTTTGAAGTCCCACATTGCTTAGGTTCTCGGGCTGTTGAACATATAAATATGTGAGGGCAACCTCACACTTTGGGCTAACTTTTGGGGTTAAAATCCAAACATATTTAACAAGTTCTATAGTTTTAACTACCTCAAAACTTCCATACATTTTAGTGAGGTTGTTTTCCTTAGACTTGTGAAAGTATAGACTTAATGTAAATTCTGCCAGAACTGTTTATGATTCGTTAACATGCTGGTATTGCGTATGAAACTAAGAGTTCATTTGGCAGTATGAGGGAACATGACAGAGCAACAATACATGAAGCCATGGAGCAACAGACAATAAGTGTTGCCAAGGTATAGTCTTTTAATCAATTATACAAAATATGAATGAACTTCATCTTTGTTCAAAATAGAGGTCAACTTGTCCTGGTAGGTTTGTGGTAAAAAAGTTTAGCTACTGATTAACTCTTGTTTTAACCAGGCTGGTCTTGTAACAACCCTCAGCACCAAAACAACAGTATTTGGCGCCACAAATCCTAAGGGACATTATGATCCTGACCAACGTATCACTTTAGTCAATATATTTTAGTTTAATATTTCTCAAATCTGTCGAGTTACAGTCTCTATTATTCTTGATGTACGCTTTGAGGTGGATATAATTCTATCCTCTTGCTGTTTGGTTAGGAACTTCCAAACCATGATATATAAACCATGCTGGTTGCTGCTAAATGTCTGAAGTAGTTTATTGTAGTTTGCTTCTATTGATTGCTTGTCTGACTTAACACAAGGTAGCTCTGTCTGTCAATACAACCCTCTCTGGTCCCTTGTTAAGCAGGTTTGATATAGTCCTAGTGCTCTTGGATACAAAGAATCCTGAATGGGATGCAGTAGTTTCATCTCATATTCTTTCTGAGGTAATCTGGATCCCTGTACAATGCGTTCAGCTTCCTATGATTAAGCTTATAATACTTGTATGAAAACTAATATCCAGGCAGAACCAGATAGAACATCCAATGATGAAGATCTAGCAAATATTTGGCCTCTTTCTACTCTTAAGAGGTAAAATACGAGGTTAATGCTAATGGCTATTGACTAACACTGTTTGCAAGTAAATCTTTTTTTCTTTTCAAAAGGATGTTTGAACCCGTCTTTCATTGGTATTACACTGCATGATAGATGATTTTCGAAACTTGGTCATGGTTAAGCTCTGTCAGCAAATTAGGAATCTCGAATTTTGATTTCTATTCTAACTTGATTTTGTGCTCCATTTTTCAATGATTAAGTTGGCTTTTTGAATCTGTGCTCATAATTTTATGACAACTTTGAATATCATATAGTGGATGCTTTGATTTGTTGATGGTTGGTACTAATAGCATTAGAGTATGTCATAACTCATCCCTACAAAACCGGCTTGTAAGGTGAGGGGTGTCACTTTATATAAATTTTTCGTGGACTCTATCTATCACCAATGTGAGACTTGGGTTTTTTCCAATATACCCCCTCACGTCCATCACTATTGAGTTTGGCGCGTTGATATAAATGGTTAGTGGTCCAAATTATCGATATGTGGGACTTGAGTTTTTCCCAATACACCCCTCATGTTCAACACTATTGGGCTTGGGCTTGGTGTGCAGAGATATAAACAGTGGGTGACCCGAATTGTCGAGACTTGGTTTTTCCGATACACCAATATTGGGTTTGATGCACATATAAATGGAGGGTGACCCAAATCGATAGGCTTGTGATAGCATGATAGAATTAGAGTTTGACATAACTGATCCCTACAAAACTAACTTATAAGATGAGGGGGGTCACTCTCTATAAACCCTTTGTGGGACTAACACGGGGCTTAGTTTTTTAACAAAAGATACACTCTAATCTAACTAACTTTGCATAGTTTTTATTTTTTTTCCTTTTGGTATGCAGAATCCTAATAACTGCAGAAAAAGAAAGAGAAAATTAAACATGATAAACCATTGGGGAGTATGGACAAGTAACAAAAATATATTGATCTTAAGTTTTGCAAAATCATGTCTATTGAGTACATTTGGTCCAATAGAATGCTCTGAAATTTGATTGATCTGAACTTATCCAAATTTCTTGATTTTAATATTGATGACTGTGTAAGATGTTTGTGATTACTTATAGTAGTGAAAAGAACCTTGCAGATATGTACACTATTTAAAAGAAAAATTCAGACCAGTCCTTACGAGAGAGGCCGAAGCAGTTATATCCAGCTATTATCAACTTCAAAGGAGATCTGCCACTGATAATGCAGGTTTGATCTAAAAATTATCCTTTTCTTAATTGAGTCCAACACTTATTCATGTCATTTTATTTAGTTGTAAATTTACGATGTAGCTTCTTAATTGAGCCAACAGTTATTCATGTCATTTTGTTTAGTTGTAAATTTACAATGTAGCTTCTTAATTGAGTCCAAGACTTGTCATTTTATTTAGTTGTAAATTTGCAATGTAGCTAGAACAACTGTCCGCATGCTTGAAAGTTTGATTCGCCTAGCTCAAGGTACATGACTGCCACTGAAACTTCTCCGTCCAATTCCGTGGTCAACTTCCCTATCTTATGTGCTATCACTCATTAAATGTCACAGCTCACGCACGGCTGATGTTCAGAAACGAGGTGACTCAACTAGATGCCATCACAGCTATTTTATGCATAGAATCTTCCATGACTACCTCCGCTATTGTGGATTGCATTGGGAATGCTCTGCATTCCAATTTCACTGACAACCCTGATCAGGAATGTATCCTTGCTTTCTTTGCGTAATGTAGTTTTACATGATTTTTTGCTTCAATAACTGTATCTTTTTAGTTTTTAAGACTTCAGGGCCGGAGTACATAGATCTATTGATGGCATCAGACCAGTGCTTCAAGGTCTCCTATCTCTAACTATTTAACTATGTTTTACTTAGTCAGTCAACTTTAATTCACCCTAATCATAGGAATCTATCTCCAGTGGATAAGGGGGAGAAGAAATGAATCTTAGGGATAATCAATGCATGTGAACGCCATTCATTTTGTACTAAGCTAGTATGCACACCTGTTAATACAGCATTTTGATTTGCTTCAATTAGCACTTCTTTAACCCACAATACAACAGATGCAAAGCAAGAAAGGTTGATCCTAGAAAAATTGGGATGCAAAGACAACTTATCTGATATGAATATCATGGAAGACTGAAGTCAAAGAAAAGAAAAACAAAATTGAAGATTGGGTCTATGAAATCATTAACAAGATTTTGTCTGTAGATAGATACCCTATTCTTCTGTTATATATTTCCATCTCGTGTAATTTTAGGTGACTGAAGTTTAGTACTCCTGAGATGTATATTGATATTTGATAGAAGAATGATTGTCTATTTAACCAAAAATAATTCTGTTCACGAGTCATCTGGTTGTGGTAAATTATTTATGTCCTTCCTTCTCAATTTGTGGCAATATTGCGTTTTTTTGTTGTTTTTTTAGTGACAATATTGTTAGTGGTTCATGTTTGGTGCATGTTGGGAATAATCGTGTGATTGTAAAAATTACAGGAGATTTTTTAGGACATTTGCTAAAAATGAGGGGAAAAACATGTCAGCCGAGGGGTTTTTGAGGAGTCTTTCAAAAGCAACGCATTGATTCCATTAAGGGGAGAAGTTTAAATTTTAAGATGATCATCATTTTTTTGCTCTGCACTTGCATTCTCTTACCTAAAAGCTAAATTACCAATATTAGGGTCAGCAACAAAAGCTAAATTAATGAATCATATGACCTTTCAAATCCGACTGGCCACATTACATTCACGTAGGCAATGGAGGACATGTTCTTCATGAATCTAGCACCGAGGACACAAATTAGTAGCAACCAGTTGGAATGGCTTGATGCCGATCACTGGGGTTACTAATCTTCCATATCTGAGACCAGGAAAACTCCTAATTCAAATTAACTATCTTCTCCATCAACCATGCATAATAACTTTCATCTTGCTTCGCTTTCCAGATAAAACAATCTGGTTGACCATTCAGTACAGTATGATGTTTAGCAATTAGCTCAACTAGATTATTATGCAAAGTCGTGTATAGAGAATTGAGTTAGACTTATTGTTGCAGCGCTTGAAATACCATAGAGTCGTCATCGAAGTTTATTTATTTTAAAAGAAAAAAGAAAATATCAATAAAATCCTTAAAGAACAAAAATATGGTCGTCGCAACCAAATTAAAATTCAGGAGTTAGTTATGCAAAGGGAAGATATTAGCACCCTTTATATCCGTTGTACATAACTGGAATCATTTAGCCAGCTTTGCAAATAAGAGTGTTCGCATATGTGTTTATGATTTCTTCTAATTATTAAAAGTTTGAAACAAAAAAGCATGACTAAAATAAGTTTTTATTAGGAGACTTGAGTGAGTCTTACTCCTATGTATCCTGAGGTGCGATGAGGAATTCAAAACCACATAGTTTTGGATAAAAAAAATATATTTTTGGATTTTTTAATATAATGCTTGCCGTGCGAGACGTTGAATCTCGCTCCTAAGTATCATTTGATAACCCCAAAGGATTGACCTAGTAGTGGAGACTTGGGTCTTGAGTACTCCTCTCAATGTCTCAGGTTCGAATCCTATTAGGTGCAATCAATCCTTGTGTTGGGTCAGCCCATACAGAGATTTACTCTGACTTTAAACGGGACCCCACCTAGTGAAATGTGGGATTAGTCCTCTTGGATTAGTTGGTCGCAAGGCCAGATATCAAATTTTCAAAAAAAAAAAAAGAGTATCATCTGGTGCGATGAAGAAATCAAAGTTACATAGTTTTTTGCAAGAAAAAATATTTTTGAATATTTTATTATAGTTCTTGACAAGACGTTGAATCTCGCTTCTACGTATCCTTTGGTGCGATTAGGAATTCAAAGTTACGTAGTTCTGGACAACAAATAAGTGTTTGTTGGTTGATTTTAGGGAATGATGTTTAGATAACATTCTAGCGGTTAAACGTTACTTGTATGCTCGCACGTGGGAGGCTTAAACGTTTGTTTGTATCGCGGTAGAATGAATCCTGTTTAATTGTATTCTAGCAGTTAAATATTGCTTGTATACTCACGTGTGAGAGACTTAAGCATTTGTTTGTATCGCGGTAGAATGGATAAAACATCGTCAGTTTATGAAAAAGTTTGAAGTCGCTCTTGGGCGAAATACGGTATGATGAGATGAGATTGTTTTTAGGCGGATGACGAATACTCGAGCAATGCGGCGTACGTCAACCACTCATTTTGTTTGAGGAGCAGAAGGATATGCATCCCTTATTCCTTGTTCGTTTAAGTTTGAAATTTTGAAAATTATTGGCAGAAGACGAATATTCGAGTAATGAAGTGTACATAACCCACTTGTTTATTTGAGGAGTAGAAGGATGTGCATCCCCATTCTTTTTTCATCCAAGTTTGGTTATTTGGAAGACACATATTCAAGCAATGAAACGTACGTCAACCACTCATTTATTCGAGGAGGAGAATGATGTGCATTCTCATTCCCTTTTCAACTGATTTTATTGAGAAAAATATTTTGAAGCGTTTGATTAAGTGTGAAAATTGACTTGATGTTGATTAAGTGATTTGATTGATTTTTGGTTTGAAATTGATTTGAAAAGTTTTTTATTTAATGGTGAAGTGGTTTTGAATTTGATGAAGGAGTGATGAAATGTTTTTGTTTTGAAAATTAACTTGATGTTGATCAAGTGTTTTTATTTTATTTTTATTTTTAAAAAAAAATTGATTTTATTTAAAAAGTGAATTTAAAAATCATACGAAGCTTTTTTGGTTTCACCATAATCTATGATGTGACATTGTTTGACAAAAAATTAGTGTAGTATTAACTAGAACAATTAATATTCCTATATTATAGATTGAATTATCTCTCCCAACCGATCTATATATTATTATTAATATTAAAAATTTGTTTTTTAAATACAAAAAATATTGATGTGTTTGACTTATATATAAATGAGATATATTAATTATTAAATAAATTTAAAAAAAATTTTATTTATAACAATAATCAAAGTAGATACATTTAAAAAAAATAATAAAATGTAGATAAAAAATTATTTTATATTTATTAACAAAAAAACCTACAATTAGCCATAGAGAGAGTATGAATTTTACACAAAACTCTTAATGGAAAAAAAACGAGAATGATAATAAAGGTAAAAAAGAAAGTAATTTCATTCTATTCTCCGAAATACAGCTGAAAACGACATCGATAATAACAAGACACATGAGAGTCACACAAATTCACAAAGTGCTATACAGAAAGATGAACCAAAACAACTCTACTAACCCAGAAATAACAAAAACCATCATAAACACAAATTGTTTATTTTTATTTTTATTTTCCTTAAATAAAAAGTACTAAATAAAAAACATTGGTGACTCCGAATCCGAACACAACGTAAGCGAGTGAGTGACAAGTAACAACCTCAAAAAAACCTCACAAACTCATCACTCATTTGTTTCTACCATTGTTGTTGTTTTCTGTTTGTTCCAATGGAGAGCTTAGCGCTTCACTCGCTCTCCTCTCCTTCATCCACCTTCTTATTCCATCGTCGTCCACAACCCATTCTCAGATCTCAATCCTCTCTCCCATTCAATCCATCTTCACGTTCAATCCCGTCAATCTCTCAATCTTTCTCCTTTCCCTCCAAAGCTTCAACCTTTAATCCTTTCTCAAAACCCCATTTCCCAATTCATGCCAATTCATCTCCTCCTCCATCACCATCACCAACACCACCGTCCAAATCAGAACCCCTACCCACTATTCTTCAAGGTGCAAAGCCAATTCCTTTTCTGATTTCAATTTCCATAGGTCTCATTGTTCGTTTCTTTGTTCCAAAACCAGTTGAAGTTACTCCTCAAGCATGGCAATTGCTTTCAATTTTCCTCTCAACCATAGCTGGCCTTGTTCTAAGCCCGTTGCCGGTTGGTGCTTGGGCTTTTCTGGGCCTGACAACATCTGTGGTCACAAAAACTTTAGCCTTTACGGCTGCATTTAGTGCTTTTACCAATGAAGTGATTTGGTTGATTGTGATTTCTTTTTTCTTTGCTCGTGGATTTGTGAAAACTGGTTTGGGTGATAGAATTGCTACCTATTTTGTGAAATGGATGGGAAAGAGTACTTTGGGACTTTCGTATGGGTTGGTATTTAGTGAGGTTCTTATTGCACCTGCTATGCCTAGTACCACTGCTAGAGCTGGTGGCGTTTTCTTGCCTATTATTAAGTCTCTTGCACTCTCTGCTGGGAGTGAACCAAATAGTCCTACCTCTAAGAGGTTGGGATCTTTTCTTGTTCAGAACCAATTTCAGGTTTGCTTTTCTACTTTAGATTCATGTACTATAATTATTGTGTGAAATTGTGTTATCCTCCTTAACATTTGTTTAGATGATTGTATAAATATGTAGCATCGGCAAATTCAGTGACACTGAACACTGATATGTTGACACCGTTGGTAATTTGAGAAAATCGAAGTGATTGAATATGAGTTTGTGTTTGACACACCTTCGATCTAAAGTGTCAATTCTATGTTTGTTTGGCTTATTGTAAATATGTGTTCTCAGCGATGTTTCGCGTTTGCGAATTGCTATCATGCGATGATGAAATAAATTGTGTGTTGCCTCCGTGATACGTGACAGTGTGCAGCAAACTCCAGTGCTCTTTTCCTAACTGCTGCTGCTCAAAACTTGCTGTGTATTAAATTAGCCGAGGAGCTTGGGGTGATAATTTCAAGCCCTTGGGTTACGTGGTTCAAGGCAGCTAGTTTACCCGCATTGGTTTGTCTTCTTGCTACGCCGTTGATTTTATACAAGATCTGTCCCCCTGAAATTAAGGACACGCCAGAAGCACCTGCCATGGCTACTAAGAAACTGGAAACCATGGGCCCTGTCACCAGAAATGAATGGATTATGGTTTCAACAATGCTTTTTGCAGTATCTTTGTGGATCTTCGGGTATGTTTTATGCCTTCTATTGTAATAGTCTATTGATATTTTGGATTGAGTAAATAATTCTTTGCACGGTGATGCTGAAAATATTATACTTTGATGGAAGTGTGTTTCGATCGATATTTTATCTGATGCCTTACAATGCAATTTTTCTAGTTGAACTCAATACTATCAATATTTCTCCGTTCATGCAGAGATGCTATTGGCATAGCA